TACCAGTTTCTCCTCTGTACATACTTTCACAAGCCCCTGCACTCTCCTTGTGTAGAACAGTGTTAAAAATCTGGCATACATATCCCATAACTTTCTCCATGTTCATACAATTATTCATATACAAATGTACACAGTTGCCTTCAACCTCTATATCAAAACATATTTAAATTTCATCACAAGTAAATTATTTATAACTAATGAGGAATATATTTTGAAAGTATACAATTATGTAAATACAATCCAACTTAAGAATAGAATACACAAAATAACTCAGAATCCTTCTGCAAACTTATCTCTTCATCTTCCTGCCTTCCTGTAGTTTCTGCATTCCTGAATTTTCTCATATCCTGTTTTTTTTAAATTATGTACCATTTATGCACAAAATACCATTTATTTTGCCTCTTTTTAAAGTTTTATGAATGGAATTATACAGTATGTATATTTCTGATTTGTTGCTCATCATATTTGTTAAATTCTGTAGCTTTCACTGCTGTGCACTATTCCACTGTATAGGTCCTCCACACCTAATTATCCATCTTTGATTCATTATAAAATATCCAAATTTTTGGCAGGTAAGTTGCAAACCTTTTTCTGCATGTTAAATTTGATTCTTCCAAGACGATGTAGTAACACTATTTTATAGGTAACAAAATTGTGGACTATTGTCACTCACTGTCACAACACACAGTCACATATAGTGGCTGGTAGTCACATAATCAAACTAACACATACCAAGCGAGGCAACATTGTAGTTTTTCAATCCCAGCTGGATGGTGGTCTACTTTCACAATCAAAAGAAAAGCGTATCAGGAAAAATATCTCACAAATATTGTCACCTTCAGTTACTGACATTAAGAGAAACATACAAAGTCACAGACCTCAAGTCTCAGTCCTACAGACACCTCCTCAAGGTCCCCATGGGCACAATTACCATTTACGACCACTTATTGTTGCTTTCCAACAGTGGCATATAGTATCTAACATAAACCACCTTACCCCAAAGGAAACAAAGATTCATATTTGCAGAAACTACCCCATGAATATAAACAACTCTACAGAGTTCCAGACACCGAATCGGACCCACAAACTCACACAAAGCAAGACACACTCATTTTTTCAACTGCCAGACCCTGCTCCAGTCTCTTGTACCTCGCTTAACGCGCCATGTCTCAGCTTACCGAGGGGTCCCTGGTCACCTCCCACCCCATTCCCATCCCCACCCGCTCTGGATTCCACAATGGGTTCCTCAGCTTTCGCTGAGACCCTTTTAATTCGCCCTCGGCCACGATAAAGACAAATGAGCCATCAGGTTCGCGCAAGACACGAATGTCTCCCTCCACCAAAGACCAGAAATCCCGGCGACCTTTGGAAAACCTTCCTCTGATAGGCAGAGCCGAGTTGCATGCTGGGAGCTTCCGGGGCTTCACCTACTGCGGACTACATTTCCCAGAAGTCGCCGAGCTCAGGTTTTCGCTGGGTGGGGCCAGTTTGCCTAGGAAGAGTGCTTTGAACCGCCTGGCTCCGAGCCTCCGAGGATTTTCCGGCTCTTATTTCCCATGAGCCTCTGGGCGCAAATTAACCTCCGTCTCTAGGTCCCTTTCCGGTGTCTTCAAGGTGCTTGGACTTTGGGCGGTGAGTTGGACCTGTCCGAGGAAGTAGTCAGTGCAGAATGAGGGTGGGAGGGCTCCGGCGACTTCACCAGAGCCGGGTCGCAACCAGCAGTGAGGGTAGGGTGGGGTGACACTGGGAGGCGCTCGGGGTAAGAAGGTCCTTGTCACGGACAGGCGCCTCAGGGCGTGTCGTGTCTGGAGCCTCAGTCTTGTGTGTGAGAAGAGTAGTGCGTGACAGATGGCGTGAGAGGGCCCGGGGGTGTCTCCCTCACGGTGCGTGCCTTTGGGAATATGTTGGTGGGATGATGAGGTGCGTGGCCTTATTTGTAGGTTCAGTTTGCTTTGGCTGTGTGCTCTGGGTTCCCGCTAGACTGTCTTAGGGACTGCCGAAGTTAAATGACCGCCATAAAAGAAGTCCTGTACTAAGCCCTAGAATGTACGTTTCCAGCAAGGAGGCAGAGATCTAGTCTTGGAATGAGAATTTTACATCTGGAAGTGTCCTCGTGACCGGTTTCTGGGAAGACATGATGGGAAAGTCCAGGAGGTAGAATTCCTAGAAGGGGGCACTTCCTTTGATACAGGAAAAACAAATGTGGGGCAAGAGCAGGGCCATGTCCCAGGTCTCAGTTGAGTCCCTGAGATGTGCCCCCGCTTCATAGAGGAAAGAATTCAGGAGTGGGCCACAGCTGAGTAAAGGTAGGTTTTTTTAGGGAGATACATATTACATAGAGTGTAGGCTGTTTCAGAAGGTGAGAGAAAGGCCTCGAGGTGTAGGGGTTGGGTGCTCAAGTTAAAGTAAAAGTAGATACACACTGTGTAGGCAGAGTGTGGGCGTCTCCCAAGAGGAGGGAGCAAGAAAGGCAGCGACGCGCCGTGTTGCTAGTTTTTATGGGCTGCGTAGCTTCATGTGCCAAGAAGTGGGAGAACCATTCCAACTACTCTGGGGAAGGGGCTGGGATCCCCAGGAATTGGGCCACCATCCACTCTTCGACCTTTTATGGTCAACCTCAAAGCTGTCGTAGTGCCCGTGGGAGTGTCATTTACCATGTCAGTAATATAATGAGCACATAATGAAGCTCAAGGTCTACTAGAAGTCAAATGTCCCACCATCTTGAGCCTCAAGGCCTAGTGGGAGTTGAATCTTCCACCATTTTGGTGTTAATTGCTCTATCATTCCTTGAATGGCTATGCCTTGCCCTACTTTCCTCCTGTCTCACCCTAGGGGCCAACTACACATTTCAGAGCCACTGAAACTAGACTCCTGTCCCCAGGAACTGCTGTCAACTCAATTCCAGCTTCCCCTTTAATTCCATTTGTTTATGTGTGGATAAAGGCAAATGTAGCCTGGGAGGTTGTTTCACTTCTGTTTTGTTTTTGGTTTTGTTTTTAGTTGAGTCTCCCAGTGTTCCAAGAAATACTAGTGTCTCGTGGTTTCTTTTTTTCCCCCTCTTGCTGCTCGGTTTCTAAAAAGGACCATGAGGAGGAGGGGAAATTGTTGCATATTTAGAAATCACAGATCTGAGTTTTCCAGAGAGATAATATGGAATGTGGGATTTCTTGGTCTCAACATCAATTTGTATGAGATCACAGGCTTTGTGAGCGTTCAGGATTAGAGTGGGGAGTGAATGGTTCTTTCCAGGGACTCTCTAGACAATAAACACCAGTGTCAAAGCCCATTTTGTTATTGGCCAGGATGTGCCATCTGTGCCGTGTCTGATATCCTTTATCAATATCCTCCAACTTGGGGACAAGGAGTATGTTAAGTGATGAGTGGTTGATGATACCATGTAAGAAAATGATCTAGACTCCTAACTGCTGGGTGAGAATAGACTCCTAGAATTAAGAAAATCTTTAGAAGTTTTGTTCAAACTAAATGTATAATAGTTACTGGTCTCTTATATCCATATGATGAACTGAATTACAGCTCATAAACATTTTGTGTATTCATCATAATAAGAAAAATGCTTGTGATGTAATCTAATAGAATGATTCACTTGAGGCTTAATGATAATTCTTCATGGAAATCATTTTTCTAAAACAGATTTTATAGTACATTTGGGGAAAAAGTCTTTTTTTGTGTGTTTCTTAGAGGGAAAAGATGGTATAGCAGTTCACATTTATAAGGAATTTATGAAACAGGCACCTAGCAGGTTGTATATATGTATATACACCCATAAACACCTGTATCACTTACCAGCACACACTATTTTTATTTAATAGAAGAGAAGCTGGGATTATTTTGTATATTATTAGATCTGGATAGCTGAGTTATCTCACAGTATCCAGGAAATTTTTTCTGCTGTAACTGGATTCTTCTAGAACATGGAAATGCTCTGCTTTAGTCCTATTAATTTTCTTACTTTTCCCTACCTGTACATCTCACAGTGATTGTTATATTTTCCTCTTCTTATAGTTTATCCTTCATAATCCTCATTTTTCCCCCCTTGGAAATATTTTCTGAAATTCTTAAATGTCTTTAATTTCACAAGTAATGTGTGGCCATCATTAAAAAGTCCACACTTTCTCCAGTATTTATTATTCATGGACTTTTTAACGATGGCTGTTCTGACTGGTGTGAGGTGATACCTCATTGTAGTTTTTCTTTGCATTTCTCTGATAATTAGCAATAAATTAAGGAGTTTTGTTTGTAAACTTTTTCTCAAAATCTTGTGAATATCAGGAGAAAAGACTGTCTCTTCAATAAGTGGTGCTAGGAAACCTGGACATGTAAAAGAATGAAATTAGAACACTCTCTGACACCATATACAAAAATAAAATCAAAATGGATTAAAGACCTAAATGGAAGATCAGATACTATAAAACTCCTAGAGGAAAACATAGGCAGAACACTGACATAAATCACAGCAATATTTTTTTTTTAGATCTGCCTCCTAAAGTAAAGAAAACAAAAGCAAAAATAAACTTATGGGACCTAATTAAACTTAAAAGCTTTTGTACACAAAGGAAACCATTGACATAATGAAAAGACAGTTCTACTGAATGGGAGAAGATCATTGCAAATAAGGGGTTAATATCCAATGTATTAAACAGCTCATACAACTCAACGTCAAAAAAACAAGTAACCTGATTAGAAAATGGGCGGGAGAACTGAATAGACATTTTTCCAAAGAGGAAATGTAGAAGGCCAACAGGCACACAGAAAGATGCTCAACATCACAAATCATCAAGGACATGAAAGTCAAATCAACAACGAGATATCGCATCACACCAGTCAGAATGGCTATCATCAAAAAGAACACAAATAACAAATGTTGGCAAGAATGTGGAGAAAAGGGAACCTTTGTACATTGTTGGTGGGAATGTAAATTGGTGCAGCAACTGTGGAAAACAGTATGGAGGTTTCTCAAAAAACTACAAATAGAACTACCATATGACCCAGCAATTCCTCTTCTGGATATATATCTGAAAAAAAAAACACTAATTCAAGAAGATACATGCACCCCAATGTTCATAGCAGCGTTATTTACAATTGCCAAGGTATAGAAGCAATCTAAGCGTCCATCAACAAATGGATAGAGATGTGGTATATATTCACAATGGAATACTACCCAGCCATAAAAAGAATGAAAATCTGCCATTTGCAGCAACATGGATGGACTTGGAGGGCATTATGCTAAGTGAAATAAGTCAGAGAAAGACAAATACTGTATGATATCACTTATATGTGGAATCTAAAAAATACCTCAAACTAGTGAACAAAAAGAAGAAAAGAAGCCGACTCACAGATATAGAGAACAAACTAGTGGTAACCAGTGGGGAAAGGAATGGGAGGAGGGGCAGTATAGGGGTAGGGAGGACAAAAGGGTTTTTATGAGATTACATTAAGTCATGTGTGTGAAATTTTTGAAAATTGTAAAACACCACAGAATTTAAAGAACCTTTTTATTCAATAAAAATCAACTAAAAAAGAAACAAGTCTTGTGAATATCAGTTATTATATCTACATAATTATTAATATCTATCAAGTTTTCCAATTTTTTTGGACTACAATACTTTATCTTTCTGTACACAATTGTTGTTGATCATTTTCAAACCTTGTTAATATAAATAACCCTATAGAAATGTACTTTTTTCACTCTAGTTTATCTCATTAACATGAGATATATAGATGGATTGCTGGACTTAAACATATGCTTATTTTAAATAAGGATGTAACATACTCTCTACAAAAGTTATGTATGGTTTATTTATCACCAAAATTGATTAGGGATTAATAGCACATCAAAATTAAGATACAATGGATATTATTTTAATAAAAACTTGCTAGTGTCAGTTTTAAGGCCAATATGACATATTTTATAACATTTTTATTTGTCGTAAGCTAGACAGTTTTTATGTACACATTCATTCATTTTTTATTCCTCTTTTATTAAATCTCCATTTCTATCCTTAGCTCATTCTTTTTACATTGATGTATTCATATGTATATTATTTTAAAAATTAAGTTCAGTATTTTGTTTCTCATAGTTGGAACAAAAATTTTCCACTTAATTTGCTTTAACGTTGCTCAAGGGGATATTGATATAGGAGCTTTACTATTTTCATAGGTAAGTTTATTCATTATTTACTTTGTTTTCTACTTGGATGTCATGCACCCACACACGGATTATAAAAGCCTTCTTTTATATTTTATAAATATATTGGTAGTCTATGTTTCTTTTGTTATTTTTCTTATTATGGTTAAAATACATATTATAATGTTTACCATTTTAACCATTTTTAAGTGTTCAGCTCAGTAGGACTAAGCAATTCACACTATCACTATCCATCTCCAGACCCTCTGTATCATCCAAAACTGAAACTATGTACTTATCAAACAGTGACTCCCCTTCACCCCAGCCTCTGCTCCCGTAAGCCCCTGGTAACCACATTCTACTTTCTGTCTCTGAATTTGACTGTTCTGAGTACCTTATATAAGTGAAATCATACAATATTTGATATTTTGTGTCTGGCTTATTTCATTTAGCATAATATTTTCAGGGTTTCCATGTGGTAGCATGTATTAAAATTGTACTCCTTTTTAAAGCTGAATAATATTTCATAATATGTGTAAACTACATTTTGTTTATGCACTCATCTATTGTGTACATGTGTTTTTTTCCACCACCTTTGGCTACTGTAATGTTGCTATGAACATTGGTGTACAAATATCCATTTAAATTCTTGCCTTCAGTTCTTTTGGGTATATACCTTAAAGTGGGATTGTTGGATTACAGGGTAATTCTATGTCAGAATTTTCGAGGAACCACCATATTGTTTTCCACAGCAGCTGCACCGTTTTACATTCCTACCAGCAATGCACAAGAGTTCTAATTTCTCCACATCCTCACCAACACTTGTCATTATCTTTTTTCTTTTATAATAGTAGCCATCATAATGCATGTGAAGTGGTATCTAATTGTGGTTTTGATTTGCATTTCCCCAATAATGAATGATATTGATCATCTTTTCATGTTCTTTTTGGCCATTTGTATATTTTCATGGAAGAAATATCTATTCATTTGCTCACTTAAGAATGGGGTTGTTTTCTATTGTTGAGTTGTAGAAATTCTTTATATATTTTGGATATTAATTTCCTGTCAGATAAATAATTTGAAAATCTTTTTCCCTTTCTGAGGGTTGCCTTTTTACTACATTTATATTTACCTTTGATGCACAAAAGTATTTAATTTTGATGAAGTCCAATTGATTTATTTTTTCTGTGCTTGCAGTATCATGTCCAAGAAATTGTTGCCAAATCCAGTGTCATGAAGATTCCCCTATATGTTTTATTTTAAGAGTTTTATAGTATTAACTCTTACTTTTAAATCTTTGATCCATTTTGAGTTAATTTTTGATTATGGTGTGAGGTACGTGTCCAAATTCATTCTTCTGCATGTAGGTGTCTCGTTTTCCCAGCACCATTTGTTGAAGAGACTGTTCTTTCCCCCATTGAATGGTCTTAGCCCCCTTGTCAAAATCAATTGACAGTCCATGTGTGAGTTTTTATGGACTCTGAATTCTGTTCCATTGATCTGTATGCCTGTCTTTATGTCAGCAACACAGTTTTTTATTATGATACCTTTGTGTAGGCCCCCGCCTGAAGGCTCTAGAGAATAAGCCGTGGGCTGAACTGATAAACAAGCTGTGAGGAATGTCATCATGTATCCAGTATAGATGGCTGGATAGTCAATGACGGGTAAGATCCTCAGAGGAGGACAACCTAAGACAGGCACAGCCGGCTGGATGAGAATGGCCTACTTAATGAAGTTTCGTGACGAACTTTAAAACAGTCTGTCCTTGATCATGTAACATCCTGTGCTTACTGCAGGAACTTGGGGACCTAAATAGATTAAGATTATTAACATTGTCATAACTTAGATGATATGTGAGGCATCGTGCATGTCCTATACAAACCTTTTTCCAAGAGTCAATAAACAGAGAACTGCTTCGCTTCTCTCCACATGGTGTTCGTGTGTACATGATATCGCGCCACCGACATTTGGTGACCCCGACGTGATATCAGCGTGGTGACTACATGTAAGTAAGGGGAAAAATTTATATCGGGGACTTTCAGCCTATCAGGTGCGCCACAATGTAACTATGGGACAGCAGCTGACAGTACAGCAGAGGATTTATTTCCGTATTCGGCAGCAATTGTTAAAGGCTATTTCAAAGCAGGGCACCCTCCCAGGGGCCCCTCAAAAACAAATATAGGAAATCACTGTCAGCCAAAGTCCCATCTCACCATTTCTGACCTCATCACATCTTCCCCCGGGAGTGCAAGTTTAGATCTAATGACTATTGATAATGAGTTGATACATGACAGTAATAAAACCTACTTAATCTCTACTGGAGTTTGGGGACCTTTACCTTCTGGGTATTTTGGATTGCTATTAGGGAGATTATCTGTGGGCTTAAACGGGTTAACAGTTTTACCTTGTGTTATTGATAATGATTATACTGGAAAAATTAAAATTATGGTTCATGCCTCTTCTTATTACATTATTCCTAAGCAATCTCGAATTGCTCAAATTATTTTGATACCTTATTTACCTGCTCAAAAATTTGCTGATAATAACAGAGGAGATAAGGGCTTTGGACATGCAGGACAGAAAGCTTTTTGGACACATCCATTAACCGATAAAGAGACCTGTTTTAACAGTTTCAATACAAGGAAAGCAATTTACAGGGTTATTAGACACAGGAGTGGACAAAACTATTATTTCCAGTTTTAATTGGCCTTCTGATTGGCAAAAACACAAATCTGATGTTACTATTAAGGAGTTGATGGAATGATGGCACCTAAAATAAGTTCTCACCCACTAAAGGTCCAAGGGCCTAAAAATAAAACGGCCTTTGTAACTGCTTTTATATTACCAATACCCTGTACTCTATGCGGCAGGGACTTTCTTGCTCAGTGAAACCTGACCTTAAAGATTGATCCTTTTTAATAGGGGCTGCTGCTACTATCCCAAATATTATTCCCATTGCTCTAACATGGACCCAACAGCAACCTGTTTGGGTGGAGCAATGGCCCCTTCCTAAAGAAAAATTACAAACATTACAAAAATTGGTTGCAAAACAACTAAAGTTGGGTCATTTAAAACATCTACTAGTCCTTAAAACACACCTGTTTTTGTAATCAAAAAAGAAATGGAGGTTATTGCAAGATTTGCATGCAAAAAATGCTGTAATGCAACCTATGGGACCCTTACAGAAGGGGCTGCCCAATCCTTCACTTATTCCTGACTCTTGGCCCTTACTTGTTATTAATATAAAGGATTGTTTTTCTCATTACCTTTGCACAAAGCTAATAAAAATTTGCCTTTACTGTTCCTACCTGTAACAATCAGGAGTTTTCATACTACTTCATGAAGTCCTGCTAGACTCTATTTTTGGTGCCTACCTGCCTCAGCCCCCTTTCATAGCTCTTAGTTGCAATACACATGAGTATCTTTTTATTGATCTGCCTTTCTAAATTAACAGGCAGATCTTTGTAGGCAGATACATTTCAGATCTGTCTGTATGTCCCCTTAGAAAGGCTATCTTAGGCTAGAAGAAGGTCCTTGGTCCCAGCATCCTGATAGGAAATGAAATCACAGAGACAGAGTGTCAGAGGTTGTGATTAGAACTTATGCAAATTTAGTAGATGGTAGGCTGGTGGAGGAAGGAGTTGAAATATTTGTTTCTGGGCTGAGTGGGGTAAGGGTCAATCACATGTCTACAGGGGTTAATTTGGGTATGGGAGTTCACGGGAGTATTTATTCCCAGCCTTAGGACAGAAACCTCCATCCTTACAGTGTGAAGGACATACATCTTATATCTGGTTCTTTATGTCAGGAATTTACCTCAAAACAGGTCAAGGATGGACATCATAGCCTCAATCCCCAGACTTTTCTGTGGGTCTAGTTTCAGTTCTGCCTTTTTAAAGAAGAGCTGTAAGCACCCTCTGCAAACTCTGAATGAATCAGAATATGGCATCCGTTTGGCTAGAGTTCTGTCTTCACTCTTGAAAGAAACTAGGATTCCCACAGTTGGAGTTAGGAGTCAAGAGTTAATAAGTCCAAGTGTCAGAATGGTATTATTGTAAATTGGTGATTTAGGAGATGGCAAGACAAGACTGTTCCCTCCTGGATTGTAACCCCCCTTTCTCTACCTGCCTCAAAGCATTGCTCTGTTTCAGTTTCCCAAAGACAGACATGGGGGAACAATCAGTTACTCTAATCATAAAAGCCAAAGATAGCAGGGTTTGATAATTCCACTTACTTCTGCCAATGCCCACTACTTGTGTTTCTCAAGCTTAGGAGCCTTTCTTTCCATAAATCAACATGGCTGCTCTTCTTCCCTCAGGGATAATCTCAAATAGCATCCCCTAATGCCTTTACTTCTAAAAGTCATGCAACTTTCAAAAATGTCATTTAGCACTTCCCTCATCCTGCCAGAAAAACATGTCCTAGAAGGAAAATATAAGTGCTTCCCTCTTGCAGGTACTTGAGTTTTTGATGAGGTGGGGATGAGTACCTACAAGGGAACATTCACGGGAAATCTTTACTCTGCTTTTGATGGAGATGAGATAGGAGGGTTTGATGACTGTTCTTAGTGTACAGCAACCTGGGTGCACTGATAAAGATTATGTTTGGCTGTGAGTAAGACAGATAGACCCAGAAGGACAGTGGTTCAACCAAGAAACATTTTCTGCCACATAAAATTCTGGAGGTGGGCAATTTAAGTCTGGCATTGTGGCTCTGCTCCAAAGCCCTCCAAATCATCGTATTCAAATCTGGGCAGCAGAATGGAGGCATAGAGGAAGAGAGAGAGAAAAGGGGATGAGCCAGGTACATTTAAGGAAGGTTCCCCCAAACTGCCACACAATTCTAATTATCTCCAATTGGCCATAACTGAAGATCCACGGACCAATAAAGTGGGGAAAGAACCATGAACCTAAGTGGCTTACATGAGCAAAATTAAAAAAAAATTTAATTATTGGAAGAAAGGGAGATAAATACTGGGAGTAATTAGCAGACTTGGCCCCTAATTCAGATACCAGTGACAAACACAACTTCCTGGACACTAGTACTGGTATAGAGGATCTAGTGAATTGGAATAAATTAACTGAGATGGAGGCTTACAGGTGTACTTTACAGTGTTTGAAAATCTTTCCGAAATTTTTGGCTTCTTACATCCCATTAGTCACCATGTCTTGCTGATTCTACTTGATATATGAAAAATATTTGACATTTTTCTATCACAGCTGTAGTGGAGCTTCCTTATGTCCAATCTGGATTATTGTGATAATCCTAGTGATAATGTGCAGATACCTTGCATTTAGTTTTTTCTGATACTCCTCTTGTTCCCACACTACATCTAATATATTATATATTTCCACTAGGTTGAACTTTCTAAGACACAAGGTTAGTATGACTAAAGAACTAACTTTTTAATTTTATCTAATTTTAATTAATTTAAATCTAAATTTAAAAACTGAAGCAGCATCAAATAATTTCCCATTATTGACAACATTGGTGTTTTGCTAAGACTACATTTCACTGTAGTCACTGCATTGCATAGATATTATTTTTGTACAACAGTGTTCATGTTATATGTATATGTTGTGTCTAGCATTACACAAATACAGCACTGATCTAGTTGATGTCATGAAATTGATGTGTTTATCTGAATATTTTATGAAGACAACATGAGTTCTGCTGATATGAAGGAAATAATAATTGGTAACTAAATTAATTATGATTAAATTAGTATTCTAGGTCAAAAAATAAGTATGTACATATTTTTAAACTTTAAAGAAAAATGTCCTACTGATGCAGAATCAAATGGAGGTCAGTGCTGTGGCCAGAACAGTATAAAACAAGAAACTGGAAGTAGATATACTGTGAATTTCATGACGAATGCCAACTACAATTTGCTGTGACAGAGCAAAACAAAAAAGCTGTTTAATTATGTAAAAAAAAAAAGGTTAAGTTAATAAAGTAGAAAACATTGTGAGACATTTTCAGCAGATACATAGTAAACTTGATGAGAAATTTCCTCTTGATAAGCAAATAAGAATAAATGAAATTAGTTGCCTGGAAATCAGAATTAAATGTGCAATGAAAAATTTAAATAAATTTTAAACAAATAAAATTTAAATACATTTAAAACATAATCCAAGCCTATAACTTTGTCTAGCTATAAAATGGCTTTGGTCTTGCACAAAAGAATAAATCAAATTTTAGATGGAGATATAGCAAAATAAATGATTAGTTTTAATTGTAGAAATTTTATTATGATTTTATAAGAGACTAAAAATTATATAAAAAGTGAAAAAGTCTTCAATTACCATCTAACAACTGCTCATAGAATACAAGATCTTTCTAACAATGTAAAAAATCAGCTATCTCAACATTAGAAAAGCTACACGTACTCTTCTTTAGCTTCAGATGAGTTGTACAGTATAAGATACTGCTCAGTTATTACTCTGGGTACATTTTATCTCAAAAGATTTCCAGATCAAAAAGAAATGTTGTCCGTTTGCAGCCTACAAAATCAGATTCATAGCATAGATATTTTCAAATTTTTTTATATATGTCAAAAAACAATTTCCACTAGGTATGAAAAAATTCATTTCTAAAACAATGCTGTAGCTATGTTAGGTTAAAAATGTGGATTCCACAAATGACAAATGCTGGAGAGGCTGTGGAGAAAGGGGAACCCTCCTACACTGCTGGTGGGAATGCAGTTTGGTGCAGCCACTATGGAAAACAGTGTGGAGATTCCTC